TACGATCACTATCTGTCCGGTCCCCAGCGCTCTGTGCGTGATGTTAGATCACGGAAACACCATGTGTGAGCGTTTTTTAGTCGCCGCCTGTCATTGCAATGTAGGTATAGTTATAATGTATTGCAATGATTCAATGCATTAAATCATGTCGCTATACACATTAAAACATCGGGAGAAAGCTAACAAATACTCTTTCACAGTCTTGTGCAATGCAAAACTAGTTTTCCTGTGTAGGAAAAAGTATTGATCTGGGAACAAGCAGCTGCTGTCACACTCTGCAAGTGTCATACATAACCAGACTTCACTAAATATCGACGGCGAACTGGCGGCTCTGCGGCAAAACTTCCTCCTAGATAGATAGGAGAACTTCGCTGATAGTGCGATGAATAGAAACAAAGTTTGGAACACTCATCACAGTCTGTCATGTTTCGCAGAGAACGTTCAAATAATAGAGCGACGTTGTTTGCATGGACGAACGCGCTGGAAAATCTCCCAAGCATTACTGTGGCAACGTTTTGAGGTCAATTTCACCCTTGCTGAATCGTAAATTGAACAAGCCCTGGTATAAATTATAAATATTCATTTTAATTTGTTTTTACCATTATCGAACTGCTTGTTATAGGCATGTTATGTGTTGGCTTAACCGATAGCCGCATATCACAAATTCAGCATTTGTTTGTTAATGTTTCTTGAAATTTTCAGAATAAAGCAGGATAATCCAATGAGCCGAAAACCAAGCGAGAACGAAGTGCATTGATGTACACTTGTATTTTTTATCAGATGGTCTAAAAATCACCTTTTCAAAATCCAAAATATTTCACGTGCCTAAAATATTCTCCATAAAGTTTACGAAACGGTCTTATGATTGAAAACCAGTCATATTGTTATTCTAAGCGGCTGTAAACAAGAATACCAAACAATTGAGCACCTGGTGAAATGCTATTCTTTTCTTTCTACAAAGGGTCGCTGTCTTTACCTGGCAGTAGATTACTACACAACATCAAAGTGTGTTTCATGAGGCCGAAAGGAAAACATCAGCCGACACGGGGCGACATGCAGTGTGGAATGCCACTCGGCTATGGCCATTGACAGCCACGACTGTGTGCATACCCGTTTTCCTTCAATCTGCTCCAGTGCCCTGAAAACGAGCCAGGGATTTTCCTGCGCTGTTTGTTCCAAACGGCACCCAGTGCAGAAAACTGCGTCAAACAACATGCCAAATGCAAAATTGTGAAAAGGACTGCGTCAACTTTCCCCGTTTCTCTTGTCACTCGGTGCGTTTGGTGCAGGAGCGACTCGCAGCGGCGTCAGGCCAGACGCGTTTTCTCTCTCGTCTCGCACGTGCGGCATATGGCGGCCAGATCACGATATACACTCTCCGATCACGAATATTCGGCAAGCTCGTGAGCAACAGCTAGATCTGGATCGCATGTCCGGTTCTGTTTGCCGTGTACTGCGCCAGCGTCACTGCCTCAAACGGCATCTTTGGACACAATCTACCGCAGTTGCAGCGAAATAATGCAACACGATCGCCCGATTGTTTTTTGGCGATGCATCTCTAATTAAGCCATCCGGCAGCGGCGGCGACGGCTCGTCAGTGTGAGAATATCCGCCTCCTGACGAGGCGCATGGGGTCCGGCTTTGGGGCCGACATCGAGGCGTCGCCACCGTTCGGGCCAGGGGTCCGTGCATGACATTGAGCACTTAAAAAGTCACGCCACCGGCCGAGATTTATTGCATCAGCCTTGAGGCGGACGTTTTCCATTGAGCTCTCAGCGTCTCCATAGCTCATGATAGCCAGTCTGAGAGCTCAAACATGACCAATGGCGCAGCCAGGCGCCATATTCGCCAGCGCATCAGACAGCCGCACCGCGAGGGCAGAATCGGCGACCAAGTGCTATCAAACATGTGCCATTGCAGACAAGCTAGCACCTATACAAGAATAGTAATAATAATATTTTATAACTTAATTTTTATGGTTTGTATACGCTTAGCAAATTATCAGCTACCAATAGGTTGTTGGGAAACTTTAGGATTATCCTAGAGTTTTCAAGTGTTACTCGAATAATGGGTATGACACTTTCCGGGTACAAGTTTTCGATGCCTAGCATACCTATTGCATAATCAAAATTGCGGTCACCAACCACTTGGAATGTTTGTTGCAATATACTGATCATCAACAAACAAGGGAAAACGCAAACGTATCAAAATAGACCGTGCAACTTACACATCCCAATTTGTTTTGAAAATTATCTAACAAATGTTTATGGTTGCATAATTCCGTGGACTCCCTAGTAGTGATCTGACGCAGCATGTCAGAGAAAATATAAATAGCACGAGTTGAAAAAGCACATGTCTGAATCATAGCATGCTTTGCTGAAGAAAGCCATTGCCATTTCTTTTAAAACTTCGTTAATCTATGTTGCTGTTTTTTTAGTCTGAGGCATCCCTATCTTAACTGGCCAACTGTTAGTCCAACAAACAGACCTAGCACAATAAACGTACCTACTGACACCACAACTATATGTAGTCGACACGTTTGGACAATGCGGAAGAAAGAACATATAAAAACCTGCATGCACAGAAAACTGAAGCGGCGCGGGGGGCGCGACGGCCGCACGCCGGTGGTCTGATCTGATGGGCCGGCTAGGAGTGCTACTCCTGTGCTCTGTACAGCACAGAACACACAGTCGTATCACACACCCGTCGTCCTGTGCGGTCGCCCTGCAGTGGGCGCGGAGCCGAGCCACCAGATCGTGTCTCCGATACGTGCCGAAAGCCCGGCACCCGGCGCCGAGACAAAGACCTCCGCTGCAGAACAGACCGCAGAAATACGCCGGCCGGCCGCGGCCGGCCCGTTCGTGGAAGTCGTTAATGACATTCACTTCGTGCATGTTTTTGGGTCATGCAGTGGAAAAATCGGCCGGCGACGGAAAAGTCGCCAGATCGCGTCGTTTATTATGAGGTGTGTCGCGCTGCGGAGAGCTGTTGTTTCCCCGGACATTGCGATGAAATAACGCCTTGCAGAGCAGTGATGCAGGCCGGTTCGCAGAAGCTCGCTCAGAGGAGCGTCGGGAGGGACTCTCACGACAATCGCTATCAACTCCTTGTCTTATCGGACATACGACAATAGACGGCTCTGAGAATTAAGCCAGGATCTGAATACGGGATGATAGTCTCAGATGAGGCCCTTATCGTGCCGTTTCAAATGTAATGTGCGTGCCCGAGCCACACAAAATCGTGCTGCAGGACGACCAAAGTCCAAGGCAGAATTGCTGTTGTAACTGCCACGTGCAACGTAACTATCACATCTAAAAGACGCACAACTGCCTCAGCTGCTACATCTGCTGCAGCTGTCAAAACTGCCACGCCTGACAGAACTATGACAGTTGCTACAATCGCTGCCACTGTCAAAACTGCTACTTCTGCCAAACTGTTCCAACTATTGCACCATCACGAATACCATCCCCACTTCAACTAGCACTTGTTACATCTGCCTCAATCGTCACAACTGCCATCTCGCTTCAACTGTCACTTTTGTCACCTATATTACAATCATCATAACTGCCTCCTCTCTGCAACTGTCACCACTAATGCCACTGTCACCAGCGTCTCTTAGCGTCATCAGGCAGTGCTCACAAACAGCACTCACCACAAACTCACACCCAGCCTGCAGTTAGAAGTGAGCGCGCATTGTGTTCGAGCGACACAATGAAGAAACTGTGGCGCAACAAAACTAACAGTCCGGGCAACATACGCCTCTGGATTGTATAACACCCTGTCACCTGGTGACTACGCCCACTGAATACCTTTCGAGTTGCTGACTTCTAAGCCACGCTAAGCAGTTGAACCCCAGTGCGTCGAACTTACTAGTTGCAGTGCGCAATATCTATAAAGCTATGGTGCGCAGTGACTGAGACATCCCATAACGTGTGTTGGAAGGGCCTTACTATCATTGTGATGCATAATTTGTCGAAAGCGTAGCTTACATTTTTTGATTTAGTATCATAGCTAAGCGCCATATCGACCGAAGGGGGACGGGCGCAGATATGGCACTCAGAGCAGGTATTGGTATACGGGGGACCAGTTCCGGATAGCTAGATTACAGTGACCATACCGGGACCTGCTTAATCTGCCAGAGCAGAGAGAGCAGGACAGCTCTCTGCCGTAAATTATGTGCGCTCCACCCCCCCGTTCAAATCCCGCCGACATCTGTGCTGAGTGAATGGGACAGAGTGGGATGGGACGGGAGAGATGGGACATAGAGGGATGGGACGGGAGGGAACGGCAAGGATTGAAGGAAGTCCACAGTGACGGGTGGGATAGAAGTAGCAATGAGCTACGCGAGAAAGATGAGATACTCGTAAGGGGCTGTCGTTTGACGGACAAGATCCAGTCGCATGCATACATAGCCACGGAAATCTGAGGCGTTGCCGATCAACTTTTACTTCGACTACCTGATTCTACAGTCTACACCTACCGCCTATCGGACATGACTACCGAGACTCCCGGCCAAACCCCACTTCCTGATGGCACAGATCATGTCAGCACGATGCTACTGGTGTCACCTGTCGCTCACACGACACCCGGGCGAGCGCCACCGACGCGCCGCCAGCGACGGGTCGGCAAACACGGAGGGGCCGTCGCCACTGCCGACGGAGGGCACGGGCGAGCGACGAGGCGACTCAGGCAGGTGTCGCCCGGGTACAGACACTGGCGCATGATGGAGGGGACGTAATGGGAAGTTCGATCGAAGTGAGGTGCTGCCTGGAGACCGTCATGAGAGGGGTGCTTTGATGTAATACGGCGAAATGCAGCTGGGTCGAATTTGGGAGCGTGTCTTGCCGAGTGTGTAGAAGTGCATCCAAGAAAGGCGATGTACCGGTTTGGGTAATGAACTGACCGGTTCTCACGATGGGTCATCTGGCATTTCTAGCACATCATCATCTCTGGCATCACTCTGAAGGGCGACATCAGCCCACCGGGCGCGCCCGACTCACCTAGCGGCACGCCGGCCGGCGGGTGCTGAGCGGCAAACATCGCCGCGCCTGCTTCCAGAGTCTCTGCGAACCTTTCCACCTTCTTCATCGGCTGGTCAGCGCCTGTGCCGCACAACACCATCACACTGCGCGCATGCGCCACCGGTGCACGTGCGGGACTGCGCGCGGCGCGGCCGGTCTGCGGCTGTGCGCTGGGGGCCGGCCGCCGTCGAAGCGCCGCCCCCTGCCGGTCAGCCAGCGGCCGCGCTACACCCTTGCCCGCTCGACGAGCGGCGCTCGCCGGCCCGCCCTGTGCCGCGGTGGCTGGGCTGTCTCCCCGCCGCCGGCCGGGCAGATGGCGCTGCTAGCGGGCAGGTAAATAAACCGCCGATTGCGTAACTGATAAGGGGACGTTTAGCACGCCGGGGGGCTGGCCAGGTGGGGATGAGGGCAGGGCCCAGGGGGTGAGGGGGGAGTGAGAAGGGTGACCTCGGAGGGGGAGGTGGTAACTAGGTCCAGGGGTACCGCCGACAGGCTCCCACCTCGGATCATGACTTCGGTTTTCAGATGGTCATGAGCAACGAGCAATGAGCATCCAAACCAACCACTCTTTTTATTTTTCCACGAGACCTTTCTCACATCTTCAGCAGTTGCATATGCATTTTACCCAGACATCAATGAATAATAATTGGTGAATAAAAATGAAAGAGTGCCTGGTGAATAGGGAAATTCATGGCTGCAGATGCTCGTCATTTTTTATCATTCCAAACTGCAAGCTTTCAATAGTACATGGCGTCATTTAAGGCTAATCAATACACTATTTTGCCATAATTAGGCATACACCCAACAACCACCCTACCCACTTATATATTTCTGAAATAATTAAGACAAATGAAAGTGAAGCCATCCGGAGGCCTGTCACGATGTTAATTATCAGTTGAATTTATGTTTTTCTTTTTTATTTTATTCATCCATTTTTCACGCATGTCTTCCCACGCCTCATTGCTAAAAGGGTGAAATGAATGACAACCGTCAACCCATATTCTCTCAGTAAGTCTATGGTTTCCATTGTTTCATCATTTATAATAAAAGTTTTGCCGACTGTCTAAAAATTTGCATTTCTTACCTTTCATTGATCTGAGCGACTCAAAATAACACATTGTGAAATATCTCATTTTTATTTCAGAACAGTTTTGTCCTGCTTCTCTCAAGGTTGAAAAGCTCGTGCTAATGGCATAACACCTGATGCACAGGAAGACATTACCACGCATCATAGCAGACGTTTTTGCCCGAAACTGATTAGCTACTGGGCAGTTCAGTGGACCCCTTATAAAATGGAGTTTACCGGGGCCGAGCCCGGCTATCGGGACGCCTCATCAGCTCATGTCCCAGGCCTCTCGGCGAGCCAACGTGGCGCGCCGGTCAACCCGGGCCTGTAACACTAAACCGTCCCTTCCGGAGTGGCAGGGTCAGAGCTCTCTCTCCCTTCGCCGGTCTCTCTCTCTCAGGGTCACTCGGGCGGCCGCCCTCCGGTGGCCCTCCCTCCCCTCCCTCCTCTCCCCCCCCAGCCCGCCCGGCCGTGACGGGGATAGGGTTGATGGAGGGGGGGGGGGCACGCGCCGACCGCCGCCACCGGCACCCAACAAAGCGCTCACGAGCGGCAGCTAATTCACAACCTGTGAATCGACAGCGCGGCGCACGTCGACGCCAATTCAGGCACGGGCTCGGCCGCCCTCGTCGATAAAAACTGCGTCCGCCGGCGCGGCCGCCAGTCCCACCCCTTCTAAAAAACGCCACTCTCATTTTATTGGCGCACATTCAAATGAAGGGTGGCGGCGCAGCCAATGGCGTGTTGCAGCGCTGCCGAGATGCATATTTGATGGCGGCGCCGCGGCGACTGGCAGGAGAGGGTTGGAGCTCTCTCGAGCCGCCGGCTACAACATGGAGGCGATTGAAGAGCAGCGGGCGAGCGACGGGAGAGGGCGAGAGGCCGCTCAGCTGACTGAGGGAAATGGAGGGCAGCGGATGACGGATAACGGCATCAAAAGGTCAGAAAGGATCACCTGAAGTGTGTCACCTCGGATAAACTCAAATCAAAACTATTCTACTTAGTCAAGCCGAGTCAATCGAAACTTGAACATCGTCTAATTGACTTAGTCGCGGAGTCCCAACTAGAAGTGACCCGTCTGACTAAGTGAGCTTGCTTTTGACTCAAAGTGAGTTGAACCTCGGCTCAGGCCTCAGGTGACTCAATCTCAGAATTCAGACTCTTTATTGACTCCATCTCTGACTCGGCTCGGCCACGTCGAGCCGGGAGCAGCTCGGCGGCCCGTCCGGTCCAACAAGGACGCTGGCGAGCGCAAAAACCGGGCGTCGATAGTGATCTATTTATCCAACAGCGGCCGGCGACGTGGCTGCCAATGAATATTGATCTGTTTTGAATGCACTGGGCTATCAGAGGTGCCGGGCGCGCTGTTGAAAACCTGTCACCAGCCACCCGGACTAGCAGATCTGGCTGCAGAAGCGAGTGCTCAGACTGGCCTCGCCTTGGGGATGGGAGAACTGTGGGGAGGGGTGGAGAAGAGTGGGAGAGGGGTAGAAATGGTGCTGGGGCGTGGTGCTGTGCGACTACATAATGATGGGCTTAATTAGCCGGGCAAGCGCGCACCTGAAAGAAAAGGGTGATGGGTTTAGACTCAAACATGAGTTACAAAAGTTAGACAGGCTGACATAGATGGGTTGCTGCAAAGTGCATATTGCACAATGCACAATCACATCCTTTTTATATTTTTGTTCTATGTCAATGACGCAATGACAATTCCAGTTGAATTGACAGTTCCACATTTGAGATCATAGACCATAAGCAATGGAAGCAAACTTCATAACATGCACACGTAAATAATGTGTGCATTGTTTACTTCAATTCATAATCCAGCCAAAGTGCTATCGGTCTGATTCGTTCGACACGGACACGACACCACATTTCAGCCGCCTTGGTCCTTTTCCTGACTCCTCCGTCTTACCCAATCCACTCAGCTGACCACCCATCCCACCCTCTCCCCTGCGCCCCTCCTCTCTCCACTCGCCTCCTTTCAGCGTCGCCCTCCTCCCCTGCAGTCTGCCCAGTGTCCTCCCGGTGAACCCGTCGCTCCCAGATGGCCGGCCAGGGTCGCCGCCGCCGTCTCGGCCGACTCCTAATGTATTCACAGAGACGCGCCGACGGTAATCTGGCCCCGTTCGCGCGCTATTCCAGAATCTCGGCCCGTCTGGCCGCCGGCCGTGGTGGACACCTTTCTTGGCCGTTCGCGCCGCCCTTTGACGACACCGTGATTTATTTCTGAGACGCTCCGCGCCGCGCCGGTTCCTTCGCCGACGTTTTTCTCCGGCTGACCTTCCACTAATCTATTCACAGGTCCTCAACCGGGGATATGCAAATGGAGCCTTTCAGACGTAGGCGGCTACGGTAAAAGGTAAAATATTTATAATGTCGGGCATGAAAGGGCGAGCGGCCTTTCTATGCGAGAGGAGGACCCTGTTTTAGTATGCAGATTTGGTCAGGTGCAGCGGGTCTTGTGATGCAAATTTTTCCCCACATGCAGAAAATTCCCGGTTGGCGGAGTTCCACGGGAGTAGTGGGGCGAGGCGCGTCACCCTCCGTAAAACACTCGGCCCGCCGAAAACCGGGAGGCGCGGGAAAACGGCGACAATGGCGGCAAAAAATCGCCACCCAGCGCAAGGTGGAGAGGCTGTTGATAAAAATTCCGGAATGCCAAGGTGCGAACCCGGTGCGTTTCCCCGGGTCGCGCTAAAAAGCTCCGTTCTATGGCAACTGAGGGTGTCGTGTGAACCGTCCGCTATTGAGACCACTGCGCGTCTGATAAAAACGTTCCATAATGCATCCCGCGGTGAAAAAAGCGTCTCCGTGGGAACCTCTCGCATATTCAGCGGTGCGCTGTTTTGGGGGAAGCGGTGTCGATGCGGCCGTGCTCGAGCGTTGCCCCGGAGCGGCCTGTCCAGATTGTTTTACGTCGGCCCGTCCGGGAGCGACAGAGGGCACCCGGGCCGGCCCCTTTGTCCCAGCTGGACCCACCGCCCGGCCGTGGTTTCCTATTTTCTGGTTGATTATCCACGAGCTGAACCCTTCCCAGGCGGCGGAGCGATCTGCGCCACATAATTTCATACCTGTTCGATCTCTTTCGACCGACTGGTGGTTTGAAAAGGTAACATTATAACTCTTCCGCGCGCGCGCGCGCGCTGGCCGGCCGGTCGCGCCGGGCCCGCTCGGCGCGGCCACCGGCCGACGAGGGCCGACATTCCTGCCTAATTCGACGCTCAGCATCCCGTTCGACCCCGTCCGCCGCCGAAATAAATAAGGCCCGTAAAAAACGGTCGGCCTTCAGGCCAACCCGCAGCAGCGGCGAATTTCAGATAAATAAAATAATGCCTACACCTTTGGACGAGCGGAGGCGCGAGGCGACTCGGGACGGCCGGCCGCGTTCTGAAGATGAGCGAGTGGAGCTGCTCTTTCCTTCGGCAGGGGAGGAGAGAGGACAGTCTCTGGCGGGAGAGAGGCGCGGAGACGGGACCTTCACAGTGCGATGGCGGACGGTGGGCCGACGTCCAACGGGACACCGCCCGTGGGCCACGGGACACTGCCCGAGCCGCAGACGGCGAACGGGGCCGACCGAGACGACCACTGCCGCCTAGACGCCGGCTAAAGGTGTATCCATCCCGTATTCAAACGCTCGTCGCCGCCGAAGACTACGGGTTAAAATATAACAGCTCTGGAGATATCTCCCGGTTGACCGTTAATTAGGGAGAAAAGGCATCGCCGAATAATAAAACGACCCAGCATCCGAATGTCGAAACCCAATTTAAATTCAGGAAAGAGGTAGCGGTGGAGGTAGCCGATACTATCAGCCTGTAAAATGGAAGGGACGCTTAGGCTCAAATATGTAGCCCGAATAAATTACCCGGTTCATTTTCTCATGCCTAAAATGCGACCGACAGGCTGGCGGAATACGGTATCAACCCAGTCGGAGACGGTCGCATTGTCTCATGTCCCGCCCTTTGAATGTCAAACTCCTGATGACCCTTCTTGAATCACGGGGTCGAATTTCGAGGTCTTTCCTATTCGTAGATGCTCGCCTGACCTAAACCACGGTGGTCCGCACTTCCCGCCGACAAATCCCATCATTACAGGTGATTTTCTATCGACGCAGACACGCAAGGCAAACCTCCAGTTCGCCGCCCAACTACTGTTTTACTCAAATTAGCAATCCATTCGAGCCCACACGTTAACTTTAAATGAGCCCG